TTGGATGTTTGTGTGTATATGTTTACCATATGCTAGGCTGCCGTATCATTTTTCGCTTTCAGTGAAATACGGTAAGTCGACGTTGGTAATTTAGCATGTACTTCTGTATCTGCGGTATATTACGCTTTTGTATGTTAGCACACATAGCTTGCATTTTCTCCGCTTGTTCATGATACATGTTAAGCTGGTTTAAATATGCTCTAGCGTTTTGGCAAATTTGTTGTCGTTTGAGCGGTTTCCTTTTTTGCTATTTTTGGTGTGTCATATATGCGTATATATCTAGAGATATTACTGGGCAACAGTTACCATTACCTGGTCCTGTTTGTTACAGTTCCGGCCTTGTATTTCATGCGGCATTAACATTCTGCCCAAAGACCCCATATGGTCTGTCTACGCTGCCTCGCAGAGGAGCATCATGATGCCCAGAAGTGTCCCAAGTGCCAAGCCTTCTCCCCTAAAACTATTAAAAGTCGCTCTGCAGACTTTCTGTTCTACACGAACTTGGAGGGGAAAGGACATTTGGGTGTTGGACCCGCCCTCCAAAAACTCTAAAGGCAAAAAGGGTGCTTCCACGGTGGTTAATGTTGGCGGTAAGCGGGCCAAGTCGGTGGATAGAACCCCCTCTTCCCCTTCCCCTGCTACTTCTGCACAGTCCACTCCTGCACCGTTAACTTTGTCAGATGTGTCCTCTCTCTTGCAGCAGCAGATGACTTCAGTGCGTTCACTGATCATGGATGCGATGTCCGGTCTCCGGCAGGAGATTGGTGTCCATTCGGGGTCGAGTGGCAAGCTGGGGTCGTCTGCCGGAGGCACCCCTACCTCGGGCCTAGGCTCCGGGCCGGGTACTACCTCTGGGGGAGCATGGTCTTGTCCATCAGGTCTTGCACCGATGGCTCCCGGCACCCATGCGGCGGTTCCCTCGGTACCTTCCGGCGCTCCGGGGAACCCCACCGTGGCAGGCTCTTCCCTCAGGTCTTGGCACCCAGGTTCGGCCTCGAGCCTAGGGTCAGTCAAGCCAGGCTATTCGGCGCTCCTCGATCCTCTGTCATTGTCCATGGGCCCTTCTTCTGTTCCTTCGGAGCCGACTGTCGATACAGAAAGCTCTTTCCTGGAGGAGCGGGAAGAGGAAGCCATGGATGAGGATGGGGGTCTTAGCTCGTCCCTGAGGCAGGTGCGCGAGCGCATTGCTGCCGTATTGCCTCAGGTGGTTGTTTCCTCGGACAGCCCCGACCCCGCGGAGTTCCGGCTTCCGGGTGAAGCTTCGTTCCGTGTCGGGTTGCCAATACCCGGCTACGCATATTACCTTCGCTTATAAGCGAAGTAATCAACCCTCTCCTGTCAGGTAGCCGGTCACGGTTTGATCTCCCTGAGCTCAACCGTCACTACTTGGGGGAATGGGGGATCATCCGGCCACAGCCAAGCATCGGCTCGTCAGGGCCGGCGCTTGCCACCTTTCTCCTCCAGTAACCAGGTGTTAAAGTCAGTTTACCGCTCCTTTGAGGAGCAATACCGCAACGCCGTGCAGCAGCTTCGGGTTACTGTTCACACAGCTCACCTCTCAGCCCTGCAGAGGCAGCTGGTGGACCGGGGGGCGTGGACGATGCCGTGTCGTCGTCCACGCTTGCAAGGCAACTTACGGAGGTTCACTCTCATCTGGCCTGCGATGCCATCCGGTCGTGCACAAGCCAGAGGATGAGTGCGGTTATGGGTCCTCGTAGGTTATGGCTGTCGGTCGCCAGGTACTCACCGGCTACACAGCAGGCACTGCTCTCTCTGCCCTTCAGGATGGGTTCCACCCTATTCCTGGGAGCTTTGACAGTGTCAGGGAGGCTGCGGAGGCAGTTAGTAAATTTAAGGACTCCAAGCCCTTACTTGAACAATCCCTCACCTGTCGCGCCTGGCCTTCCTTCCTTGCCGCTGCATATCCTTCCTCATTGGGGAAGGAGGCGCCTAAGTGGACTGCTCAGGCACGCAAGGGCAAGGGTAAAGGCAAGGGCAAGGCTGCTTCCGCTGAGCAGCCTTTTCAGAGGAAGTGGAAGTCGGCCCCGGCTTCCCAGTAAGCAATCCTCCGGAGCCCGTGGTGGTCTCGTTGCAAGCAGTTGCTACACTGCCGACTGTCTGGATTCACTGCCTATTACCCGACATCCCTGTCGGTGGCCGACTGACTCTCTTCATTCGGGAATGGGAGAAAGTCACCTCAAATCCCTGGGTCCTGTCCACACTCAGGGATGGCCACATGCCGCAGTGGAAGCGAGGCCCTCCTCCTTTCTCCGGGATTTGTTGCACTCCGGTGCCAAACTCTCAGGAGAAGGCAAATATACTCCGTGCCGAGGTCCAGTCATTGCTGGACAAGGCAGCCATCGAAATGGTCCGGTGGGCCAGGAAATCTGGGGTTTTACTCCACCTATTTTCTGGTAACCAAAAAGGATGGAGGGTTCAGACCCATTCTCAATCTCACTAGTCTGAATGATTTAATAGAGATGCCGTCTTTCAAGATGGAGACACTGCGTTCAGTGATCTCATCTGTAGAGGCAGGGGATTGGCTCACATCAATCGACCTCAAAGACGCATACCTCCATGTACCGATGCACCCCGAGTTTTGGAAATACCTCCGGAAGTGCTATCAGTTTCGTGTTCTCCCCTTCGGCATCTCCACGGCGCCAAGGGTGTTCACCAAACTCATGCTAGTGCCAGCTCAGGTCACCAGGGCACAGGGAACTTTTGTTACCCGTACCTGGACGACTGACTACTCAGGGCACTCGCTACCCACTTGAGTCGGGAATCCACACAGTCAGTGATGGATACTCTCACCAAGTTGGGTTGTATTATCAACCTCAAGAAATCAGAACTGGTTCCCGCCCAGGATCTGGTTTTCTTGGGGCGAGATTCGAGACAAGACAGGGCATAGTCTTTCTGTCTCGGGACCGCATTCCCAAAGTCCAGGGGATTGTGTTACAATTCCTCCAGTCCCCCAGGGCCTCAGCTCAAACTTGGCTTCAGTTGCTAGGCAACATGGCGGCGACAGTGGACATTGTTTGGCGTGCACACCTAAGGAAGCAACCTGTTGAGCAAGCGCTATTGCAGCTGTGGTCTCACTCAGAGAGTTACGAGAAGATTCTGGTAACTCTGGAGTGGCTCATTCCTCACTGACGGTGGTGGACCGACACCAGTAATCTATGCACGCTGGTGTGGAAACAGAGGGATTCTCCATCCCTTTTCTTCGACTGTAGTAGAGGTGTTGGAGTTTTTACAGTCTCGGTTAGAGTCCGGCTTAGCTGCGTCTACTATCCGAGGTTACTCCACGGCTATTTCAGCCTAGCTCATTCCCATCGAGGGTGCCCTGTTAGTGCAACACCCTCTGGTGCAGCGCTTCCTAGCAGGCGTGGACAGACTGCGTCCGGTCATCCGTCGGTCCAGTTCCACATGGGACTTGTCTCTCATTTTTGATTGGATGTCCAGTCCTCTCTTTTAAGATCTGGCAAATTTGTCTCTCCAGCTACTAAGTTGGAAGATGGCATTTTTAGTAGCGGTTACATCTGGTAGACGGGTCGGTGACATACATGCTATGTCATCGGACCCGGAGCTTACCGTGTTTCATAAGGATTCTGTAAGTATCCGCTTACCAGATTCTTACCGCCCTAAGATGGAAAGTGCATTTCATATTACGGCACCTATAGATCTTCCCCCCCTAACGCTTCCTGCGTCGTCTGGTAACACCAACCGTGAGGTTCATGTATTAGACGTCCGCAAGACTTTAAAAGCATACATTAAGAGAACGGCGTCCATCCGTGAGGATAAACAGCTATTCTGCTGCTATGGCGGTGGCAATGCTGGTCATCCGGCAAATACACAAACCTTGTCAAGGTGGATTGTGTCTGCTATCTGTATGTCTTACATACACAAGGACTTATCCTCCCTCGAGGGGTTGAAAGCTCATTCAGTGCGTGCAGTAGCTACCTCCAAGGCTTACGCTGCTGCTTTGCCCATTGAGGAGATCTGCTCAGCTGCTATTTGGAACCGACCGAGTACGTTCATCCGTCATTATCAGCTGGACAAACCCTCACATGAGCGTGCTCGGTTTGGCCAGACGGTTCTCCGCAGTGGACAGAGTAGCACCTCTCAAGCTGATTGAGCTTTCCAGATACTTTGCACTTGGTGTCGGGTTTCTATCATTCCCCTTTTATCGGTGACGGTATCTGGTGGTGGTTTTCAGTCTCGCTATTCATTGGTGTATCGGTGCCTTACTTTTACTTTCCATTTTCCACGCTTGGCAAGCTGTGCGCTATTGACAGTAGTTTGGATTGGCGAGTTCCTGGTTTTTACACCCCTCCGAACCTTAGGTCGGGGGGTGGGGTTTGACTGGGGATGTAATATCCGATCAAGCCAATCGGCATATAGGCTATGACAGTAGGGGTCCTAAGCATTAGTCCGCTTCGCGTGATTGACATCAGCGGTCGAATTGATAGGTAAAGTCCTAATTTTCTCTATTTCCGTGCGGTTGTAGACTGTTACTATCTATGGATCACTTTGTCACACAGAATACCACTCCGGCTTCATTTGTGTTTGGTAGTCTGTCTAATGTATAATATTGCCCAAAGAGGGACTTCTTCTGAAAAATTATACAAACCTGTAGAGGTTATGGGAATTCTTTGAAGAAAGTCCTCCTTTAGGGGAGCTCTGATCTCCCTCCACCTCATTCTGTCACCCGATCGTTCAGCATGAAAAGTGAGGTCGCGAGGTTGGCGGCGATAGTTACCTGCTCTTGGCTGTAGGGGGCCCTGTAGGGGTGGTCTCACAAGACAAAAACGAGTTTATGGTTTTGTAAATATTTTATGAAAAAATATAGTTACATCTGTCGTTGGAATTTTCGTGGACATTTAAATGCTTATATGTACCCCAAGGAGGACTTTCTTCAAAGAATTCATAACCTCTACAGGTTTGATAAGTTTTAGCAATCCTTAGGATCTTTGGTTAACAAGTTTTCCCTGTGATTTCTTCAGGGCCTGGAGAAGATCCACTTTGGAAGCACTTACCATGAATTGGGTAATTTGATGACCAACATCGCACTGTGTTACCGTCGTCTAAACAGACTGGATGATGCAGAGAAGATGTATTTCAAGTAAGACTACATCTCCTTGTGTTACATGGAAGCCATGAACCTCAGTTCAGACAACTTCGTCTTGCTTGACATTATTCACTTCATGTTGTTCATTATTGTAGGTCTGTGTCCTGTGTTGTTGGAATCTGTCCTGTGATGTAGGTCTATGTCTTGTGTTGTAGATCTCTGTTTTGTGTTGTAGATCTCTATCTTGTGTTGTAGATCTGTTTGTGTTGTAAGGTCTCTGTCTTGTGTTGTAAGGTCTCTCTCTTGTGTTGTAGATCTCTGTCTTGTATTGTAGGTCTCTGTCTAGTGTTGTAAGTTCTCTGTCTTGTATTGTAGGTCTCTATCTTGTGTTGTAGGTCTCTGTCTTGTGTTGTAGGTCTCTGTCCTGTGTTGTAGGTCTCTGTCTTGTGTTGTAGGTTTCTGTCCTGTGTTGTAAGGTCTCTGTCTTGTGTTGTAGGTCTCTGTCTTGTGTTGTAGGTTTCTGTCCTGTGTTGTAAGTTCTCTGTCTTGTGTTGTAAGGTCTCTGTCTTGTATTGTAGGTCTCTGTCTTGTGTTGTAAGGTCTCTGTCTTGTGTTGTAGGTTTCTGTCCTGTGTTGTGAGGTCTCTGTCTTGTGTTGTAGGTCTCTGTCTTGTGTTGTAGGTTTCTGTCCTGTATTGTAGGTCTCTGTCTTGTGTTGTAAGGTCTCTGTCTTGTATTGTAGGTCTCTGTCTTGTGTTGTAGGTCTCTGTCTTGTGTTGTAGGTCTCTGTCTTGTATTGTAGGTCTCTGTCTTGTGTTGTAGGTTTCTGTCCTCTGTTGTAGGTCTCTGTCTTGTGTTTTAAAGTCTCTGTCTTGTGTTGTAGGTCTATGTCCTGTGTTGTAGGTTTCTGTCTTGTGTTGTAGGTCTCTGTCTTGTGTTTTAAGGTCTCTGTCATGTGCTGTAGGTCTCTGTCCTGTGTTGTAGGTCTGTCTTCTGTTTTAAGGTCTCTGTGTTTTGTTGTAAGGTTTCTTTTCTGTGTTGTAAGGTCTCTGTCTTGTGTTGTAGGTTTCTGTCTTGTGTTGTAGGTCTCTGTCTTGTGTTGTAAGGTCTGTCTTGTGTTGTAGGTCTCTGTCTTATGTTGTAGGTCTCTGTCTTGTGTTGTAGGTCTCTGCCCTGTGTTGTAGGTCCCTTGA